TGAGCACACACAGGCACACACACACATGCACACACAGTTTCAATCTGACTAGCTTCTGAGGCTAGTAACTGAACAGATGGGGGCTCAGAGGTTGTATATACAACATAATACATATTTTGTATAATATATAACATAATATATAACATAATACAGCATATATATATATAATATATACACCATATATTATATATGACCTAATTATATGCTAAATTAAAGTAGAGTGCTTTAAGCCTGGCCTTGAATGTGGAGACCGTATCTGCTTCCTTAACATAAATGAAGCTGATTCCACAGTAAAGGAGCTTGGAGCTAAATGCTCTGCCACCAACAGTGACCTTTGAGACCTTAGGGACCACCAGACGTCTGGCGTTTTGTGAGCGCAACGCTCGACCTGGTTGATACGACACTAACGTGTCTTGGAGATAAGAAGGAGCCAAGCCATTTATGGCTTTATATGTTAAGAGAAGGATTTTAAACTTTATTCTGTACTCCACAGGGAGCCAGTGGAGTGATTTTAACACCGGAGTTATGTGCTCCCTCCTTTTGGTACCTGTTAAGATCCTAGCTGCTGTATTCTGAACGAGCTGGAAGCTCTTCAAAGAGGCTTTAGGGCACGCTGCCAGTAAAGCGTTACAGTAGTCAAGCCTTGAGGTGACAAACGCGTGAATGAGTTTTTCCGCGTCACTTTTAGGAAGGAAATTCCTGATTTTAGCGATGTTCCGTAAGTGGAAGTACGCCGTTTTAGTTGCTTGGCTTATATAAGCCTTGAAGGAGAGTTCTTGGTCAAAAATGACTCCAAGATTCCTCACAGTGTTACTGGGTATAATACTAACATTATCAGAGTAATTATCTGGTTAGTGAGGGAGTCACGCAGGCGCTTCGGACCGAGTAGGATCACTTCTGTCTTCTCCGGGTTGAGAAGTAGGAAGTTAAGAGTCATCCACGTTTTAAGGTCCTTTATGCAGGCACTGAGCTTTTCCAGCTGATCTGTCTGATTAGGCTTCATCGACAGATAAAGCTGTGTGTCGTCTGCATAGCAGTGGAAATTAATTCCATGCTTTTTAATAATGTTTCCTAACGGCAGCATGTAGAGAGTAAAAAGAATCGGTCCGAGTACCGAACCCTGCGGCACACCGAATTCTACTCCAGAATAAGGCGACGAGTTCTGATTTACATTGACGAAGTGATACCGATCTGATAAATAGGATTTAAACCAGCCAAGGGCTGTTCCTCTAAGACCTATATCACATTCTTGCCTCTGCAGTAGAATGCTGTGGTCTATTGTGTCAAATGCAGCACTAAGGTCCAGTAGGACCAGCACTGACACTTGTCCATTATCAGCAGCTAGTAGTAAGTCATTTGTGACTTTGACTAGTGCCGTTTCAGTCAGTAGCGGCGCCAGGTTTGCAATTTTGGGTAGGCCTGCAGATTAGTAAGTAGGCCAAATTCGCTTGCAAACTACAAAGGCTAGCTGGAATTGCGTTTGAGCCAAGAATATGGCCCAGATCTGAACGCAGCTGCGGGTGTTAATAAATCGACTGAATACGAAAATATTTATGAAAGTCACGCCTAGAATTATGCAGCAATCGCGTGTTTCACTGTCTTCGTGACAGGTCAGCAGGAAGCCGGCCTAAAAGACTGTTTGGAAGCCTCAAAAGGCACGTTTGTTTGTTCATGTTTATGTAATAATAAATATGCGCTATATATTCAGCTGCGTTTTGAACAAATTGCTAAAATGTTTTGATACATTAGAAAAATCTCTCTGTAGAAATACTCTGTAGAAGTGAATAAATATAGATTGATTGAATGAATGAATAATTCATATATATTATGCAGCGGTGGCTCTGAATGAAGCGTCTGCAGCGTCTTGGACGCAGCCTGGCTCGGGGTAGAAGTGCGCATGAGGCGCTGTACACTTCAGAGAGCGTTTGTCCAGATTTCACAAAGAAACTCTGGAGCCAAAACTTCTGCACATGTGGCGCGACCTCTCACGGCACTCGCTGCGCACTCTGGACAGGGCAGTGAGACATTTGAGTGAGCAATACCATCGATGCGTTATTGGGGTGTGTGTCTGTGTGAGGGTTACACAAATCTAATGAAATAACACATTGCTTTAGATGTGAATGAGGAATACAGATAGCCGTGTGTAATTACGCAGCGCAGAGCCTGCCACAGCAATAGGTCACACATCCCTGTTGCGTAAAGTGTATTTATATAGAGCCTTTGACTGTCCAGGATCACAAAGCGCTTCACATTTTAAAAACATACAGATCAAAATAAGACACACACAAGTCAGATTTAATAGAGGGTCCTCATCATGAGCTGTGATTTATTCGAAGTTTGCGTGTTTCCATTAGACTTTTTCTGATGCGCAAATTCAAATTTTGAAACATGATCCTCAATGAAAACACAGCATATAATGTTTCCAGAGGGAATATGTTTATTGTTGTACATATCTTGAATTTCATGCGTGTTTTGGCGTGTTGTGCCGAAGGTTGAGATCAGCGTATAGATTTACACCACCTCCAGACCTGGCGTATATTTTGTGCGTATTGTACGCTCACGTCCAGATAGATAAATGCGGAAAAGTGTAATATTTTGCGTACGCCTCATTTACCCTGATTTGGCCGTACGCAGGTTTCATACATGAGGCCCACAGTGAGGCCTACAGTGAGGCCCACAGTGAGGCCCACAGTGAGGCCTACAGTGAGGCCCACAGTGTGTCTCACACAGGCCTAGAGTTTACCTCATCAGTGCGATGCCTGGCCTGACCGTGCTCTCCTCCTCTGGGACCTACGGGCCTCTGGCTCCTCTACCTCACAAAGTTCACGCTGAACTGTCTTAAAACTAAAATGAAAAAGGCTGCTCTGTTGTGAATGTTTTGAGAGCGTTGTCAATCTTTAAGACGAGGAATAGCTGTTGTTCTCGGGAACGAGCTTAACGCTGTGTGATATGATCATGCAGATTATTGGACAAAATTGTTCAGCCAATAAACAGGACTATATTTGAAGCAACGTAGGAACGTGATGACGCTCAGGGGGTTATATTTTCTTAAAACATTAGAACGCAACATTTAGGCATTACCAATAATTTGTGTATAAAAATAACAACATTTAAATTATGACTTTTAATAAAAAAGGCTAATGACTTGAGAGGCAAAGAACAAATTTGAGTAGGCCAAGAAAAAAACTGGTAGGCACCGGCCTACCCAGGCCTATCCCTGCCGCCGCGGCTGGTTTCAGTGCTATGATGAGCTCTGAATCCTGATTGAAAGACTTCAAACATATTATTTTCCTGCAGGTGGCAGCGGAGCTGCTCAGCTATAAGTTTTTCCAGGATTTTAGATATAAAAGTGAGGTTTGAGATCGGTCTGTAGTTTGTAAGTATTTCTGGGTCCAGGTTTGTTTTCTTCAGAAGGGGTTTGATTACCGCGGTTTTAAAAGCTTGTGGGACATAGCCACATTGTATGGATGCGTTTATTATATTTACGATAGGCTCAATTATCAAAGGAAGTATGTCTTTGAAGAGCCATGTCGGGACTGCGTCTAACATGCAAGTTGAGGCTTTTGAGGATGTGACCACAGAGATCACCTCTGCTTGGCTCACAGCCATGAATTTATCGAGGCCCACTGAAGAGTCTAAGTGGGAAGTCACGTATGCCGCTTCAACCTGTCCACCACTAACAGCAGGAGCAACCTCCTCCAGCTTGTCACGGATGGATGTCAGTGCTCCATGGTCTTCATCAGGAGGTCAGTGCTCCATGGTCTTCATCAGGAGGTCAGTGCTCCATGGTCTTCATCAGGAGGTCAGTGCTCCATGGTCTTCATCAGGAGGTCAGTGCTCCATGGTCTTCATCAGGTGGGAGGTCAGTGCTCCATGGTCTTCATCAGGAGGTCAGTGCTCCATGGTCTTCATCAGGAGGTCAGTGCTCCATGGTCTTCATCAGGTGGAGGTCAGTGCTCCATGGTCTTCATTAGGAGGTCAGTGCTCCATGGTCTTCATCAGGAGGAGGTCAGTGCTCCATGGTCTTCATCAGGAGGAGGTCAGTGCTCCATGGTCTTCATCAGGAGGTCAGTGCTCCATGGTCTTCATCAGGTGGGAGGTCAGTGCTCCATGGTCTTCATCAGGAGGAGGTCAGTGCTCCATGGTCTTCATCAGGAGGTCAGTGCTCCATGGTCTTCATCAGGTGGAGGTCAGTGCTCCATGGTCTTCATCAGGAGGTCAGTGCTCCATGGTCTTCATCAGGAGGTCAGTGCTCCATGGTCTTCATCAGGAGGTCAGTGCTCCATGGTCTTCATCAGGTGGAGATCAGTGCTCCATGGTCATCAGGAGGTCAGTGCTCCATGGTCTTCATCAGGAGGAGGTCAGTGCTCCATGGTCTTCATCAGGAGGTCAGTGCTCCATGGTCTTCATCAGGAGGTCAGTGCTCCATGGTCTTCATCAGGTGGGAGGTCAGTGCTCCATGGTCTTCATCAGGAGGTCAGTGCTCCATGGTCTTCATCAGGTGGAGGTCAGTGCTCCATGGTCTTCATCAGGTGGAGGTCAGTGCTCCATGGTCTTCATCAGGAGGTCAGTGCTCCATGGTCTTCATCAGGAGGTCAGTGCTCCATGGTCTTCATCAGGTGGAGATCAGTGCTCCATGGTCTTCATCAGGTGGAGGTCAGTGCTCCATGGTCTTCATCAGGAGGAGGTCAGTGCTCCATGGTCTTCATCAGGAGGTCAGTGCTCCATGGTCTTCATCAGGTGGGAGGTCAGTGCTCCATGGTCTTCATCAGGAGGTCAGTGCTCCATGGTCTTCATCAGGTGGAGGTCAGTGCTCCATGGTCTTCATCAGGTGGGAGGTCAGTGCTCCATGGTCTTCATCAGGTGGAGGTCAGTGCTCCATGGTCTTCATCAGGTGGGAGGTCAGTGCTCCATGGTCTTCATCAGGAGGTCAGTGCTCCATGGTCTTCATCAGGTGGGAGGTCAGTGCTCCATGGTCTTCATCAGGAGGTCAGTGCTCCATGGTCTTCATCAGGAGGTCAGTGCTCCATGGTCTTCATCAGGAGGTCAGTGCTCCATGGTCTTCATCAGGAGGTCAGTGCTCCATGGTCTTCATCAGGTGGAGATCAGTGCTCCATGGTCTTCATCAGGAGGTCAGTGCTCCATGGTCTTCATCAGGTGGAGGTCAGTGCTCCATGGTCTTCATCATTTAAGCAGGGGAATGACTTTGGCTACTTTCATATGTTTAGGAGATTGTCCGGTTTGTAGTGGTAAATTACAGATGTGTTTAAACGGCTTTAAAATACTTTCAAAAACATTCTTTAAGGTCGTCATGTCCAAGTCGCAGTCGTCAGTCAATGTTTTGTTTTTAAAGCCTCTAACTATATTTATTAACTCGTTTTCTTCTACAGGTTTCAAAAACAATGAACTTGGGTTTGTTTGTATTTGGTCACAGGAGTCTTTCTCAGCATCTGTAATGTTAGCAGCCAAGTTTGGACCAACATCAACAAAGAATTTATTAAACTCAACTACTTCATTCATATTAATTATAGTTTTATCCTTATCTTTAAAATATTTTTTTACTGGACAATGTTTATCATACACTTGTTGAAACACTTGTTGAAACTGACGAATATTCACAAAATGCTGCACATCAGACAAAAGAATGTGCACTCAGGAAAAACCCCAAGGACACAAGATAGTACAGGAATCATAAAGATAACCAGCTTACAAAACCAGACAATTATTGACTCCATTAATAAACAATGCTCTCGCCCACTTTTGACGAGAGCAAAGTCCAACACAATCAGGCGCCGCAGAGGTGGGGGCATTGTTTGCTAAATCTGATATGGAAGACCAAAACCAAGACCAAAATCCAGACCAGAGACCAGTCTCAGACCATATGACGTCATCGGACATGTTGATAAAACTGGGGGTAGGACATTTTGAGCAGTCTGAGCAGGGATAGAGAGACAGAGAACATGGCAGAGCGCCTGCATGTTCTCTGCACACTTTCAGGCCTGGAGGGACAGTTTAGAATGGCTCAGCATAGGGTTAGTTTTAGAGAATTAATGGCTCCAAGAGTTTTGTATCGATATTTAATTGTAAAGAGAATTAAATGTTCTATTTTTAACTCTTGCATTCTTGGCCTTATTTCTGTATCAAATTCTGAACACGTCTGTCAAAGCTTTTTTTGACAACAGTTGGTGACCCTGACGTGATTTGATACAGAAAGAAGACGCAAGATGAGCTCAGATAGAGAAAGAACTGGGTCTGTTTGGGTTTGGAGACTCAGCTCTTCAGTTGCTTCTAAAAAGGTAAGCAGATCATACTTTTGAAAATCTGCACATTGTTTTTAATAGAAGAGAGAGGTCTCGGCCCAGCAGGACTGCAGTGTGGACAGACCGCCGTGATGGGCGTTCTATCGGACGCGATAGAACAATAGTTAGGTTTCGACGTTTTAACCTTGAGGGAAGATTTGGTCCCCTCTAAAAAAAATAGAAGGGAGAAGAGAAAGTCCACAGTGTTTAGAGTGCAAAAGAGGCACACCGCTTTAAAGTGCAGAGAGGCACAAGTATAGTGAAAATAGAAATAGAATTAGGAATAGGGACAGCTTTAGGGTCAGAACAGGATAATAAAACCTTCTATATCCCCCGGGGGGCGGGAAAAAGGGTACATTTAATTTAAACAAAAAGCCGAGTATTTAAAATGTGGATTCTGACTATTGAATAATAATGATCAGATTAATGAGGAAAAAAGAGAGCCACTTGGCTGTCGAGTTTTCATGTGGAGAAATGACAAAAGATCAGTCTGGGAGTTTTTCTCTTGTATTGTGATGTAATGTTTAATAGTTACAGAGGTATTACGAAAAAAAAAAAACCTGCTGTGACTGGTAATGCATTATTCATGTAAGCAAATTGTAATGTTTTCATTACTGACGTATTTAAGGATAAAATGTAAAGTGTCGTTTGACGTGAGAAAAACTTTTACCACTGATTAAAACCTTGTCACGATAAAAACGAGGGAAATGCTTGAAGCATACAGCCTCTCTCTCTCTCTCTCTGTCTCTCTCTCTCTCTCTCTCTCTCTCTCTCTCTCTCTCTCTCTCTCTCTCTCTCTCTCTCTCTCTCTCTCTGACAGAACTATTACCAAATATATTTTTTTGTAGAAAATTACATTTATACACACGATAATGTTACTGACATGGAGTCATATGATCCCAGAACTTTGAGTTAGATTATAAAGAGGCATTATTTTTATTTTTATCTCCAAGGCGTCTAGAAAAAGATATTAAAATTTTTTTCCCTACATTTTGGTGATATAAAAGTTAGAATGATCTTAGAGAGCATTATACTTTTGGAAAAATAGGGCTTAGGATAGCAGTTGAATGCAGAATTCGGTTTTCAGAATCTAATGTTTAAAATGTTAATATTAATTATTTCATAGGTTTATTTTGATTTGTAATTAATCATTGGTTTTGTATGGTAATTAACACACTAGTTTGTGCTTCTTGTTTGTCTGTTTTTTGAGAAAACTTCTGTCTGTTTCATTGGCCAAAATCGTCCCCGCCACAAGCCTCAACGGAGCGTCTACTAAAACGGACCATCAGCGTCTCCCCCGACCCACAGGGGGCAGCAAAGACAGCAGCATCGGCTGCAGCAGCTCGAAGACTTCTCCAGCCTCTAAGGCCCCGTCCCAACCAGACGCGGCGCCAGGGATAGGCCTAGGTAGGCCGGGGCCTACCATTTTTTTTCTTGGCCTGCTCAAATTTGTTCTTTGCCTCTCAAGTCATAAGCCTTTTTTATTCATAAGTCATAATTTAAATGTTGTTATCATAAATTATCGCCTAAATGTGGCGTTCAAATGTTTTTTTTTTTAGAAAACGTGATCACGTTCTTACGTTGCTTCTAAATATAGTTCTGTTTGTTGGCTAAACAATTTTGTCCAATGAGATGCATGATCATATCAAACGGCGCGAAACTCATTAGCGAACTAGTTTCCCCGAGAACAAGCAGCTATTCCTTGTTGACAATGTTCTCAAAACATTCAAAACAGAGTAGCCTTTTTAATTTTAGTTTTAAGAAAGTTCGGTCTGAACTTCGTGAAGGCGAGACTCAGGTAGAGGAGGAGCCAGAGGCCCAGCCCCGTAGGTCAGAGCAGCAGCTTCGACAAGAAGGCACGTACTATTTTCCCATTTAGAAGGCTTGCTTGTGGACTATAACAAAACAACTACGATATTATGGCTATTAAAATAATATGAAATAACGCATAAGGGTAGGCCTAAGCCTAATATATATGAACTGTTTGTAATAAATGACCAATTGTGCATTCGCATTAGCAATACAAACGAGGACATTGAGCATTTTAATGTTTAGCATATTTGTTTTTATTCATAGGCTACATTTACGAAAATGCGTTACGACCACCGCGTCTGTCAGCCTTCATAAAGATTTTAGTTCTGCTCAGAAGTGTGCACCGACAAAGTACTTTTTTGAACCAACTTTCATTGTATACTTTTATGATAATTTCAAAAGAGAAAAGGTGTTTATATTAAATGTCTTGAAGGCTGTCATGCGTGCTGTTATTTTTTTATATCAACAAGTTGACAATAATTTTAATTAGAATGTAGTTTCTTTACGTTTACGTGTAGTAATTTAAAGTTAAAGTTAGTTATTTGTGTTGTAGGAGATAATGCAGCCGACCCACAGGACGTTCGCCTCTGTCCCCACGATCTGTCTTCTAAAGACGAGCCTCCCACGCAGCCCGACCTGCGCACTTTCCCCTCTTCCAGTAAACCAGAGGACCAGAGGGGGACCAGGGGGAGGCCAGAGGGAGACCTGCGCACTTTCCCCTCTTCCAGTAAACCAGAGGACCAGAGGGGGACCAGGGGGAGGCCAGAGGGAGACCTGCGCACTTTCCCCTCTTCCAGTAAACCAGAGGACCAGAGGGGGACCTGCGCACTTTCCCCTCTTCCAGTATAGGGGGAAAGGACAGGAGGTTTTCTGCACACTGGTACCAGAGGTTTCCATGGCTGGAATACAGCATCTCGAAGGATGCTGTGTTTTGCAATAAATGTCGACATTTTCCAGATGCCTTGCAAGACAATACCTTCATTTTTAATGGAACGAAAGATTGGAAAAACATTAGTGCGATTTGTATAAAGCACGAAGGGAGCAAGGGACACGAGAGGGCCTCGGGTAAAATGGCAGGATACCATCAGAGTCACCGAGAGCGTGGGAATATTATCAATCAGTTGAACAGAGATGCCCAAAACAAAGCATTAATTGACAGAAACAGGGAGCACATCATACTGGTTATCGACCTAGTCCTGTTCTGTGCCAAACAAGAGATTCCATTGCGAGGTCACAGGGAAAATGCAGATGCATTGAATAAAGGAAATTTCCTAGAGTTGCTGGAATTGGTTTCAAAATATGATCCACAAATTAAAGAACGACTTGACCAATTGCCAAAGAATGGAAAGCTTTTACATCACAGTATACAAAATGAAATACTTGAGATCACAACCTCCCTCATTATAAGTAAAATAAAGAAAGATTTGCATGACGAGCCCAGCGCATATTATGCCATTTTAGCAGATGAGTGTAAGGACATATCAAAAAAAGAACTGGTGGCAGTGTGTGTCCGGTACCTGCACAAAGGCGCATTGAGAGAAAGAGCAGTAGGATTTGTGCAGACTGAGAACTTGACAGCAGAGGCCATATCAACAAAAATATTAGAGGTTTTGGAGCCGCTGCAACTTGACCCAGAGCTGTGCGTAGGGTTTGGGTTTGATGATGCATCCGTCATGTCGGGGAACAAGGGCGGTGTGCATGTGATATTGAAGAGAACCTTCCCTCGCGCTGTGTATGTGCATTGCAACTCCCACAGACTTAACCTTGTCTTGTGCACAGCAGAAAAGTCTCTCCGTGCATTGAAACCTTTTTTGTTGTTTTAAATGACCTGCATCACTTTATGACTGGAGCACACAGACACGCAAAATTTATGGAAATACAAGATCAAATGCGGCCAGGGCAAAAACCTTTGGAGCTGGAGAGAGCCTGTGATGTTCGCTGGACCTCCTGGTCAAATACTGTGAGTAAAGTGCTGACACTGTTGGGACCGATTTTGGAGACCCTCGCCTCTTTTTCTGAAAGTGCAAGGGGCCAAACAAAAATGGATGCGGACGCCTTATTGAACCAGATACAGAATAAAAAATTCCTGTTCCTCCTTGTTACGTTTAATCTGCTGTTTGAAGTCAGTGACTACGCCACAAAAGGCTTGCAGTCCCCTACACTGTCAGTCACAGATTGCACTGATTTAATCGAAGGACTCAAAGACAATTACACGAAGTTCAGACACAAAAATGCGACATACAATAAAACACTGGCTCTGGCAGATGACCTGATGATTAAACACGACATCAATTGGGACATTGGCGCGTCACGCAAAAGAAAGTTACCTGCCAGGTTAGAGGATTCTCTGGTTGGATCTACTTTGGGCAAGTCCTTCACTGTGCAGACAAATTCAGATCTTCGAAGACTTTGGAACGACACATTGGATAGACAAATAACGGAGTTGAATATCCGCTTCAAGCCTGACACATACGGCTTCATGAAGGCCACCGCTGCCTGCTTGCCACGCACAGACACATTTGGAGACATAGAGACGATCCATCCCGTGTGCACGCATTTCTCCATCCACTTGAACGGAGCAGAGCACACTGTCTTTGTGCAGCACATTCAAAGAAAAATGAATGAAACTGGAGATAAGTTTCCCACACTCATTGAAGTTCTTGATTCGTGTCCACGTGACATATTCCCTATGAATAGTCTCCTGCGAGCGCTGCTCACTCTGCCGATGACCACATGTACGGTGGAGAGACTCTTTTCCACCGTCAACCGAATAAAGACAAGCACCAGGGCGACGATGCTGACAGAAAGACTTAACTCTCTGTCCCTATTGTCTTTTGAAAGAGAATTAACGGAGAACATAGATTACAAGGACATACTCGCTGTCTTCAATCAAAAGTCACGCCGCCTGCTCTTGTAAATTAGATTTAAGATTATGTACTGTTCCTTGTACATGCATTTGATTTTGTAATTTTCAAATAAACTACGCTATGTGTATTATTTAGTCTATTTAATTCTCCTTCAGGACCAGGGCCAGCGACGCTAAATCTGTGGCGCCGCGTTTGCACCATATTCTTTGTATCCCCACTACAAACACCCCTTGTAGTTTGCGAGCGAATTAGGCCTACTTACTAATCTGCAGGCCATAACTGCAAACCTGGCGCCGCTACTGGTCCCAACACTCGCACTTCCACCTCGCGCCCCTCATTTGTGCGTTCCCGATAAAGGGTGCGAGTGCGTAGGGTCCAGTCCCAATTCTCCAGAGAGGTCTTTGGCCCCGCCCCCTTTGCGCCCCTGATCCACACTTCGCCGTAGCCTGCATCTATGCACACTCTGGCGAAGGATATTGCCCATAATTCTTTGCGGTACGCACCAAAACGTCGGGAAAATGCATTTAAATATACATTTTGAAATATATATGCAGTATGTGTGTAAATAAGTTTTGCTGTTACTTGGAAAGAAGCATAAACGTCTGATGAAGAATTACGGACATTGTGTTTTAACAATTTAATAACTTTTTAAAACAAGCGTTTATATAACATTCAATTTAAACTTTACACTTAGTACAATAATCTTAGAATGTATAAAAACAGACCAGATAGTTAGTTACCCACATTTAACTTAAAATTATACAGCTATCTCTAATTAAATACAACTAATATAAATGTATTATAACGTGTGTGAAGCAATTCAATTTGTTTCCCAAAGGGTCAGACAAAATTACCTTTAATTTTTATAAAGTTTAGGTCTGAAAATGACCATCTCTGACGAGTCGATGACGTCACCTGCACTCAGTGCACTGTCCCCATTCCACCTTTTGTGCTGTAACCTGCCACTCAAACCCTTGCGCGCACTTCAAACAAATGCACACTTCATAGAAGGGCGTAGGGTGCAGTCTGGGTATTGGGACTGGGCCCAATTCTAACAGCATGGCAAAGAAAAGACCACAGACTTTTCACAAACTGAGTGCTGACCCATCCACGGAACAGTAGGTGGCGGTAATGCAAAAAATAGGCCGCCAACCGCCGGAAAAACCTAACAAGAAGAAGCAAAGGAAGGTTTCTCACCCATCATCTGTACTTCTTAGCAAGTTTTCCCGACGTTTCGTCCTCAAACTAGCGGACTTCTTCAGGGAATGAATTCTCGGACCGTGCGTTGGAGATTTATAACCTATGGGTGTGGTTAGCCACAGCCTAATCCTGATACTAACTCGTAAACAATCTAAGGTCTGCTTGATGTAGAAGGGAGCAGGTCTAACGACCCTGCTGAGGCTAACGACCCTAACTCATTAGCCTGTCACTGACCTATTGTCTGCTGGGATGCTCAAGTGGAGTGCAGGTCTCACCCCTCCTAACTCATTAGCATGTCACTGACCTATTGTCTGCTGGGATGCTCAAGTGGAGTGCAGGTCTCACCCCTCCTAACTCATTAGCATGTCACTGACCTATTGTCTGCTGGGATGCTCCAGTGGAGTGCAGGTCTCACCCCTCCTAACTCATTAGCATGTCACTGACCTATTGTCTGCTGGGATGCTCAAGTGGAGTGCAGGTCTCACCCCTCCTAACTCATTAGCATGTCACTGACCTATTGTCTGCTGGGATGCTCCAGTGGAGTGCAGGTCTCACCCTCCTAACTCATTAGCATGTCACTGACCTATTGTCTGTGGGATGCTCAAGTGGAGTGCAGGTCTCACCCCTCCTAACTCATTAGCATGTCACTGACCTATTGTCTTTGGGATGCACTAATTTCTGTCTTAACATCCCAAAGACAAAACACCCAGACACAAACTGAGCAATGTGGTGTATTCAATTAAATGTAGTGAAGAGGAGTGCACTGACCACTATATTGGAGAAACCAAACAAACTCTACAGAAACGACTTTACCAACATCGTAGAGAAAACTCTAGTGGGCCACAGTCGGCTGTTCATCTCCACCTCAAGGCCTCCAACCACACGGTGGATGACACAGAGGTTAAAATTCTGGCTCGGGAGAAGAATTGGTTTGAGAGAGGGGTGAAAGAAGCCATTTTTGTGAGGAAACAAAAACCTTCTCTTAACAGAGGAGGAGGGTTAAGATTTGTTTTGCCTCGCATCTATGACGACATCCTAAAAACGACGCCCTAACTTGGGACAAGGTCAGTGACATGCTAATGAGTTAGGAGGGGTGAGACCTGCACTCCACTTGAGCATCCCAGCAGACAATAGGTCAGTGACATGCTAATGAGTTAGGAGGGTGAGACCTGCACTCCACTTGAGCATCCCAGCAGACAATAGGTCTGTGACATGCTAATGAGTTAGGAGGGTGAGACCTGCACTCCACTGGAGCATCCCAGCAGACAATAGGTCAGTGACATGCTAATGAGTTAGGAGGGGTGAGACCTGCACTCCACTTGAGCATCCCAGCAGACAATAGGTCAGTGACATGCTAATGAGTTAGGAGGGGTGAGACCTGCACTCCACTTGAGCATCCCCAGCAGACAATAGGTCAGTGACATGCTAATGAGTTAGGAGGGGTGAGACCTGCACTCCACTGGAGCATCCCAGCAGACAATAGGTCTGTGACATGCTAATGAGTTAGGAGGGGTGAGACCTGCACTCCACTTGAGCATCCCAGCAGACAATAGGTCTGTGACATGCTAATGAGTTAGGAGGGGTGAGACCTGCACTCCACTTGAGCATCCCAGCAGACAATAGGTCAGTGACATGCTAATGAGTTAGGAGGGGTGAGACCTGCACTCCACTTGAGCATCCCAGCAGACAATAGGTCAGTGACATGCTAATGAGTTAGGAGGGGTGAGACCTGCACTCCACTTGAGCATCCCAGCAGACAATAGGTCTGTGACATGCTAATGA